AATCCCTCTGCTTCGAACACCCAGCAGCCCTTGATTTGATGCTGCAACAAGTGTCCCTTTATTACCTTCTGCTGCCCTGATCACATTGTACCTGAAAATCTCAATCTTTGGCTGAATTTATATTTGGCAAACTTTTAAGTGTATGACATCCATGCCCCTGTCACTGTTCCAATTACAAATAACATTTGCACGCAAGTGACCTTCTCTAACAAGAGATGATCTAATCATCTCTCCTTCATATTCAATGGTGTTACTATCATGGAATCTTCTACTGTCAACATCCTGGGAATTACCATTGACAAGATCAATTAGAACAGTCATAAATTCTGTAGCTGCAAGAGCAGTTTAAAGTTGGAATTGTGCAGTGAGTAACTCTCCTCCAATCTCCCCAGTACCTCTCGCCTGTCTACTATCTACAAGGCACAAGTCAAGAGTGTGATGAATGAAGTACCAATGACACTCCAAGCTGTATACCATTCAGGACAATACCATTCTTGGCAACCCATTCATAACTTTAAATGTTCACTCCCTCCGCCTGAGGCTATAACATGTGCAATCTACAAACTGCAGTACAGTAACTCACCAATGTTCTTTCATATCCCCTTTTCCAATCCATAGCTTCTGCCAGAAAAAATTGCAAACACTTAGGAACACCACACTCTGCAAGGATCCTCCAAGCCAAATGCTATTTTGATTTGGAACTAAATCATTATTCCTTCACTTTCACTGTCACTGTCAAAATCCTGGAACTCCTTTTCCAGCAGCACTCTGTACTTTCTCCACATGGATTATGATGGTACAAGGATTTCATTCAAAAGTAGGGCCCGCAAAGAGTTGCCTGGTGTTGGCACCTTCTTACATCCAGGCATCTCACCACCTGCTTGGAACGGAATATACTAGGATAATCAGCAAACCTACAATTCACGAGGAAATTACCTTTTAATTTTAAATTTAATTGTCACATTTTGATACACGTCCCTCTGAAATGACTTGGGACATTTCATAAGCGTAGAGATGCCTTCTTGGCCATTTCTACGTCAGTGATATGTACCACTTAGTTTCTATTCTCTGAACTTCCAGTAGCAGATAATGGGAATTTAGGCAAGGAGTTTTCAAACCTTCATGCTGCACTGTCAGCAGCCAAACCCCTCCTCCAAGAACCGGTTCAAACTCTGCCTCCGCCCCCCGCCACTCCCCTTGCATCATGTTCCCTTCCGAGCTTGCTGTCACCACCTCCCAGGTACTGACTTCTTTAATGGCCAAATATCTTCTATCTGGTTAAACGTACTTCTTTCCTTCGGTGTTGAAGAATTTATGGAATCATTCTGATAAAGAACCAACCTGCAATTAACTTTCAGGCCTGGCCTCAACAATAGCTTGCTTCTCTTTTGTTTTTTTTAATACAAGGCGCTGCTCACTGTCCAAAGATCATCTTCAGTTCACTGAAGGTCTCAGTTCGTTTCTTTTATCAGTTTTGATTTGGAGCATAAAATACAAAGATGGAAAAACACAATAGCAAGCATTTTAATAGTACCCCATAGATCAAGCGGATTCAATCTACATGGAAAGTGCAAGGCAGATTCTCCAGAATGATGCCAAGGATGGGAAACTGTATGAGGAGCACATTGAGATATCAGCACCAATGTGGCCTTTGCAAACCGACCAAACTTCTGAGTTCCCCTTCTGTCAATCCTCCCTCCCAAATATTAATGACTTTAATCCAGTCCCTTTCTTCACCTTCCAAATAGTGATGTCTTGAGCATTTTTAGCAGCAACCATTCCCCTTCGCTCTGGCCCAGAGTAGCCCTCACTCAGTGCTGCCACCATGATATTGTCATGCCAAGAAATAAATTTTCTGAAATTACCAACATGTTGGTGCTGTTGGCATGATCTGTAAATGTCTGTATAAATGCAAACAATGTGCATAGAAATTGTTGTAGCAAGAAATCGTTCCAACAGATCAGTGTTGGATACTAGATGTGATGACTATGCTACAGTATTTTGTAGGTTGCTGCTAACCGATTAAAGGCACCAGGGATAGAAAATGTAAAATGCTAATAACACTTCTAAAATGTTCGTACGCTGAGTACAAGTTGAGCGATGAATCGGTCTGGCACAGAAGACATGTCAGGACAAAATAATATTTCAGCCAACATGTTGGCATAAAAGGCACATAATGGCTTTTAAATGGTTGCCGGGAGGAGTGATTATTTATCCATTTAACTCAGAAACTACGCTCTTTGGTCATAAGGGATTTGGGGGAAGCGTAGGTGTCCATGGTGCAATTGTCTCTGAGCATCCCTATTTCTGACCTTTATATTGGAAGGAAGGTCATTGAGGCATCGATTGAAATTATGCACAAAATTTATGCTTTGGACTCATAGAGCTGTACAGCATGAAAACCGCCCCTTTGGTCTAACTCTTCCAATTTCCAATTTTGTTGTACAAGCTTAAATTCCACTCCATCCAAGTCCTTAACACTACAGCAGTCCAAGTCTATATTTGGAAAGTTAAAATCCCCTATCATAACCACCCTATTATTCTTGCAGATAACTGAGATCTGCTTACAAATTTGTTTCTCAATTTCCCGCTGACTATTCGAGGTTCTATAGTACAATCCCAAAGAGATGATCATCCGCTTTACCGCTTTATTTCTCAGTTTCACCCAAATAACTTCCCAATAACCTTTTCAAGGATGTTGCCAAGGTTGGAGGTTTGAACTATAGGAAAAGGCTGAATAGGCTGGGGTTAGTTTCCCTAGAACGTTGGAGGCTGAGGGTTGACCTTATAGATGATTGTAAAATCATGAGGGGCATGGATAGGGTAAATAGCCAAGGTCTTTTCCCTGCGTTGGGAGGAGTCAAAAACAAGGGCATAGGTTTAAGGTGAGTCGGGGGGGAGATTTAAAAGGGACCTCATGGGCAATCTTTTCATGCAGAGGGTAGTGCATGTATGGAACAAGCTGCCAGAGGAGGTGGCAGAGGCTGGTACAATTACAACATTTAAAAGGCTGGTTATATGAATAGGAAGTGTTTAAAGGGATACAGGCCAAATGCTGGTAAATGGGACTAGATTTAGGATATCTGATCAGCATGGATGTGTTGGACCGAAGGGTCTGTTTCCGTGCACCATACCTCTATGATTCTAAATCTCTACTGAATCTTTTCAAGTTTCACAACACCTTCCTCTAGCAGAGAGACCAGAATTGCACACAGTATTCCAACAGTGGCCTAACCAATGTCCTGTACAGCCGCAACGTGACCTCTGAACTCCTGTACTCAATGCACTGACCAATAAAGGCAAACATACCAAATGCCTTCTTCACTACCCTGTCTACCAGCGACCTCACTTTCAAAGAACAAGAACCTGCACTCCAAAGTGTCAGCAACCTTACCATTTAAGTGTATAAGCCAGCCCTGCTTTGCCTTACCAAAATGTTTCCCTAGCTTCCTGTAGAATTCTGATCAGGTCTTGGGGATTTATCCACCTTTATGTGTTTTAAGACATCCAGCACCACCACCTCTGTAATATAGACATTTTTCAAGAGGATGCCGTTTATTTCCCCATGTTCTTTATCTTGCATATCATTGTCCACAGTAAATAGTGATGCCAAATACTCGTTTAGTATCTCCCCCTATCTGCTGTTCCGCACATAGGTGGCCTTGCTGATCTTGAAGGGGCTCTATTCTCTTCCCCAGTACCCTAGTCGGATGTGAAGTTCTTACTTAACTCACCAATGCCCTCTGGCTTCACATGCAGATTGCTCCCTTGGTCCTTAATAAGCTTCAGTCTTTTCTCCGGGTATCTCTTTTCCCTTCTTGCAGAATATCTTGGGATTCTCCCTAATTTTGCCTGCCAGCATTTTCTCATGCCCTTTCCTTGTTCCCCTAATTGTTTTCTTGAATTCACTCCTGTACTTTCTATAATCCTTTCGTGCCATCTTGTTTTGGTCCTTTTTGTATTCAGTTGAACTAGCTTTATTGTCATGTACTCAAATGAGTATAGTGAGAAGTTTACAAGTTGCCACTTACGGCACCAACTTAAGTACTTGGGTACAGATTCATCAGTACAAGCTCTTACGCAAACAAAAATTAGAAAAATAAAGAAATGTTAAGTTCAGCATTGTAGATCATAGTAATAAGTTAGACAATAGAGAAACTAAAAGTTCAGAACAACAGTCCTTCCAGTCCAGTCGGCACCAGGCCTTGACTCCAGACTGCTGGGCTTCACCTCAAGGCTAGGAGACTCCTCTGGAATGACCTTGTAAGTCTATACTGTGACCACACTGGCCTGAAAAACCACCATGAACTGCCAAAACACAGCCACGCTCTGTCTGCACCAAGGCCAGGAGTTCAGGGCATTGCTAAGGAGAGATGGGGGGTGGGGGAAGAAAAAACAGACGAGCTCTGGCTGAAGCATCCCACTCTGCCATCTTGGATAAGTGTGCCTCTTGTTGTCTGTCTTTTCCTTTTTTGTCCAGTGCCGTATATGCCTCAACATTTGTTGTTCTCTGGGCTTGTTGTTCCTAGATTTCATCCTAAAGAGAGCATGTTGAGCCTGTACTCCATAGTACCTTTTCAACTCTCTCCCACTGTTCCATCATTAGCTATACCCAGTCTACTTCAGCCAGATCCTGCCTTATTTTAATGAAATCTTCCCTTCCCCAATCCAAAACCCTTCTTTTGTTTTTTGCAGACCATCTTTCTTCCTTTCCATAACTAACTTCAAATGTGATGTTTTAAAGATGGAGGTAACAGTTCTAGGAAGAAGTGAAGGCGATCAGTAACTCATCCTGGGATCAAATGTGACATTAACATTACAAACAAGTTGGTAACAGACTAAATCTGAACCTAACAGACTTGATGTGGAGCATGGGAGATTCCAACAGAGGTATACAGATGGAATTATCTATAGCCCTAAGTGATAAATCAGGCTTCACCTACTTTAAATCTCTTCTTATATAACTATTTGTATATATTTTCTATTTTAAACTTGCTTAGGATGGCTGATACCGTAGTGGCTGTCCCCAAAGAGATAAATCCCAAAGACCTAAAAGAAAAGACCGTGAAGGAGACTGGGAAGAAAGAGAAACAGTAGCGAAGACACGCCAACAAATAGAACAGAGGAAGAGAATGGAAATGAGCACACAGATGAGAATGCAGAGGAAGTAGAGGAGGAAGAGGAAGATGCTGGGGGTGAAGGTGAGGAAGAGGATGGTGAAGAGGGTGCTGAGGAAGAAGAAGATACAGATGGACATGCAGTGAACTGTCTGGCTGAGGGGCAGGGTGAAGTTGAAAAGAAAATACAAAGTCAGAAAATGGAGAGTCGATAGAACCCAAGGCAGAAGCTTAAATATTCTGTTGCTTGAATTTTTATATCTTGATGGTGTGGTCTGGTTCGCTTTGTGAAGATTGTGCTTTTTTTAAAATGTACATTTGTAGTGTGTGGGTTTTATAATGTACTGTATAACTGGTTCCCGTAATACCTGTCCAAGGCACGTCTCTCAGGAATATTTATAATATGAAGTTATTTATAATATGGTCTTCGTACAACACATTTGTAATGGGTTTGAATGCTCTAATAAATATTTTTCAGGTCTATTTTGAAATGGGTTTACAACTTGGAATTGTACATTTTAGGAGCACATACATTAGATAACACTATTTCCAGTGATTGGTCTGGTATTACAGTTGACTGATCATGTTCTAATTTCCAGAAAAAAAACTGCCCTTTTATCTTTTTTGTCAATGATGTTTAGGGTAGACCTTCTTATACAATGAAAGCCAAAGATATAGGTCTTGTTAGCAGGGCAGGGGGTTGGGGGCAAATAAACCTGGTCTTCTATTCTGTACAAAAATGTAACAAAAAATTTAACGTTCTTCAAGCTCCACAATTTGTCACTGAATATTGTTTGAGGTGCAACATCAAAACTTCCAGCAAAAAATTGACAGGTTCAATTTGTAAATTTATTTTTGGACTCATTGTAAACTTGTGCTTAAAATCCTGTATGTGGTTTAAAAAAAAATTGATTGAGTAGCATCATTTCTTTCCATATCAAATAATGTTAAATTAAGTTCGTGCTTGACCACTACTTTATATATTCTGTTTAAGTACTATAAACAAATCTTTTGGGTTTACAAGGAATTTAAAAGAAAGAAGAAAGGAGTGATATGGTAGCTCAGTGGTTAGCAGTGCTGCCTCACGGCACCAGGGACCTGGATTCAATTCCAGCCTCAGGCAACTGTCTCAGTGGAGTTTGCTTCTGTGTGGGTTACATCTGCGTGCTCCAGTTTCCTTCCAGAGTCCAAAGGTGTGCGGTTAGGTGGATTGGCCATGCTAAAATTGCCCATAGTGTCCAGGAAGATGTAGGTTAGGTGGATTAATCATGGGAAATGCAGGGTTACAGGGATAGGGTAGGGGGTGAGTCTGGTTGGGATGCTGTTTGGAGGGTCAGTGTGGACTTAAAGAGCTTCTGATTATAAGGATGAAGTAGATCTTGAACGAAACTTGTATCAGGACCAAAATACATTGATTTCAGTCTTTCTGATATTCAGTTGGGGGAAATTCCTTTTCTTTCAGTGGATGTCTGTCTGATGAGACTTGTCCACTTTTACTAAGCTTAGAGTAGTAGTGGTGAAGTAGAGCTTAATGTTTTGTTTTAAAACATGCCAAAAACACTGCTTTGGGGTGACTTTAAATGGCAGAATGTTGAGAAATACGAAGAGCTAAGGAAAAGTCCCTAATGTACTGGTGTGGGAGGTGAAAGAGAATCTGTTGTGAAAAGTAGTCTAACTCTGAAGTGGCTAAAAGTGGAACAGGTGAATGTAATTCCATGCAGCTGAATTACAGTTGGAGTGATAGTGTAGTTAAGGTTTACAAGTTATCATTTCCTAGTTAGTTTGTGGGACATTTTCCATTGATTTGGTCAAAATGTCAGCCAAAAATTGTCTCTTGTGCATTCCAATGGAAAAGGCAAGCCATGTGAGGAAGAATAATCACAGTGAGAGAGGTAACGGGGGAACTGAAGGATGGGAGAAGAATGAGTTTAGTAGCAGACATAAGAGTTTGTTTGTTTTGGATAGACTTTATAAATCAACAAGTCCTGGTAAATTATGATTTCTGAATATACTGACTCAAAGTTTTAAAAATGTTCTTTGTCACATGAACTTACTGACCCAAATATATGAACTAGTTTCCAATGTGTAAACCATGTGTATAAAGTGAAACTCCGAGTTTTTTTAAACTTGGGGAGAGAAAAATGCTTCCAACTAGAAGGTATAATTTCATACAAGAGCTCTGCGAAGCATTTGCTATCAAATCAGTATCTTCACTGCAACAATATTGCTTTAGATATAGAACTTTATAACTATTTTTTCCCTGAAGATTAAAACTGGATTATAAATTTGCATTCTGAAAGATAATTGCGTTAAGAGATTTGTGCAAAACATGCCTAGGAATGTATTTTTATATTAAAATATATTATCTTTTGGTCTGGGAATTGTTTATTGCCAGTGACTATGCAAGTATTATCGAATAGTTTTCTCCTGAATTGAGAAACATAAACGTAGAAAGGAAGAACAGGAGTAGGACATTCAGCTCTTCGTGCCTGCCCTGCCATTCAATATGATCATCATCCAACTCAGTACCTTGAATAACAACTAATCTTATGTTACGGAGTCCTTGTTCAGGATTCAATTTTATGAAAACATTTGTAAGAGCTTCTCCCTTGAGTCTGAGCTTGTGTAGTGATATTAAAGTTTGACTATTTAACTGTTGGTGCTCTCCAGATTCGACCATTCTTTTAAAATAATTGCATCGGTTCAAGAAAGCAGCTTACTGCCACCTGCTTGAGTAATTGGAGTTAGGCAAACAATGCTTGTATAGCCAGTGGCATTTGTATCCTGTGAACAATTTTTTTTTAAAAAAGGTCACCTGACAAAAAGTAGGAGCAGAGATTTGCCACTCTTTATCTGGGCTTTAACATTTTTTCTCTCCTCAGATACTGCCAGATGTGCTGAGTGTCTCAAGCAGTTATTGCAATGTTGAAAATCTGAAATAAAAACAGAATTTTTTTTCTCTTCGAAATGAAAGGCTTACTTCTCTGTGGTGGAGGGTTTTTAATAGTCAACCACATTACTTTGAATCTGGAGTCATATCTAAACATATGGCAGATGTTCTTAGTGGCCATCAGTGAATCAGTCTCATGGTCACCATGAATTCCAGATGTGTTCAGTGAATTTAAATTTCACCAACTACAGTTTACCTAGTGCCACTGTCTGTGCTTCTGCTTGTAGCCCTGCAACATCTTTTTTTTTCAGGTAATGATCCACTTCTGTCTTGAACAACACAGTGAACCTATCTCCTCCATGTTCTCAGGCTGTGTTCCTGACCCGAACTACTGTTCGTATTGAAAGATTTTCTGTAGTGTCAGCTTTTGCTGCTTTAATCAACAAACCTAAATATGTGCCCTTTTATTCTCTCTCCATTAACTAGTGGGAATATTTCAAACCCTGTCTGCTCTGTTGAGATCCCTCGTGATTTCAGAAATGTCCTTTGAATCTTCTTTTGGTCAGAAATGAGTCCCGCCACCTTCAAGCTATCTATGTAACAGAAATTCCATATGCCTGGGACCAAGCTGTTGAAACTTCTCTCACTAATGCCTCCATAATTTTGTTAAAGTTTAGATGCCCAGAAATGAGCCCAGTGCACCAAATGAGATCTAACCAGTGTTCAATGCAAGTATTGAAAAGGGATTTCAGAATTTTTACCCAGCAAAAGTGAAGGAATGACTATTCTATTTCCAAGTCTGATTACCATGTGGCTTGGAGAGAAAATTGGAGGTGGTGGTGGTAATACCATGTGTCTGCTGTTTTTGTCCGTCTAAGTGGCAGAGCTTATGGGTTGAAAAATGCAGTTGTAGGAGCTTTAGTGAATTGCTGCAGCACATCTTGTGAATGGTATGTACTGTGCATCGGTCATGGAGAGAAGTAGATGTAGTAGGTGGTTGGGTGCCAATCAAGTGGGCTGCTTTGTACTCTAATGTTGAGTTTCTTGAATGTTGTTGGAGCTGCACTTATCAGGCAGGTAGAAATATTCTGTCACACTACTGATTTTGGGCCTTGTAAATGGTGCACGTAGTTAGGAGTTGAGTTACTTGCTGAAGAATTCCAACCTCTGACTACCTGTTGCAGAAGTTTAGTTCCTGGTCAGTGGTATCTTTCAGAACGTTAATAGTAGGGACTCAGGTGGTAATCTTAAGTGGAGACGGTTTGATTTTGTGTTTTGAAGTGATCATTACCTGGCACTTGTGTGGCATGAATGCTCTTGACATATAGTATGAGTGTTTATTGAGGTCTTGCTGCGTGTGCATATAGGCTGTTTCAGCATCTGAGGAGGTCTTGAATGCTGCCACACACAGTGGAATCATCAGCAAACATCCCCACTTCTGATCTTACAATGGAGTGAAGCTATGAGGGATGAAGCAGCTAAAAAAGATAGATATAGTAGGAACTGCAGATGCTGGAGAATCCGAGACAACAAGGTGCAGGGCTGGATGAACACAGCAGGCCGAGCAGATAGATAGATAGATAAAAAAGATAGATAGTTGGGCCTAGGATGCTACCTTGAGGAACTTCAGCACCGCTGTCCTGGAACTGTCATGATTGACCTCCAATAACCACGACTACCATGTTTTTTGTGATAGGTGTATATTAAGTCAGTGAACAATTTTGCTGTCTGATTTTTTTTTTTGACTCCAGTTTTGCTAGGGCTTGTTGATGTTAGGCTTTGAAAAATGCTACCTTGATGTGAAGGGAAGTCAATCTTGCCCAGCATCCAGCATTATCTCTTTTGCCCATATTTGAACCATTGCTATGAGATGATCTGAAATGTCAACAAGTGAATTATTTGTGAATATTTCTGATGCAAATACTTCAGCCTTGTCTTTTGTACTAATGTGCTAGACTTCCTTAATATTGAGGATAGAGATATTTGTAGAGCAGCTGTCTTTTTAATTGTCTTCCACTGTTTGTGGCTGGATAGAGCAGGCCTTCAGAGCTTCAATTCGATCTATTGGCAGTGGGATTGCTTAGTCTTGTCTTTTGCTTGTTTGACATGCAAGTAGGCTTGTGCTGTAGCATCACCAGGTTGACACCTCATTTTCAGACATGCCTGTTAGATGGAATGCCCTCTTTCACTTATC